TCTACAACAGAATCCCAACAACAATCCACCACAGAATCTCAAGAACAATCTACAACAGAATCCCAACAACAATCTACCACAGAATCTCAAGAACAATCCACTACAGAATTTCAAGAGCAATCGACTATAGAATCTCAAGAATCGACTACAGAGAAACGAGAAGAATCTACAACCGAATCAAATGAATCGACTTCTGTAACTACAGAACCTTCGATGGTGACACCTTGCCCCATTGGAAATTTAACTGACGAACAAATAACTCTTGTTTGTCCCACAGGATTCCGTAGACATCCACGATATTGCAATTTGTTTTACCAATGTACCAATGAAGGTAATATGGAGATCAAGGTTCTCGTTTTAAGTTGCCCCGAAAATACAGTTTTTGACGAGCACAAGATTCAATGTCTCCCTGAAAATGAAGTCAGTCAAGGTTGTACCGGTCTTCGTGCTAATGCTAGATTCTATAGAAAGTTGGAAGAAAATTCTATAACACCAGTACGTATAAAAATTATGAAGTGAAATAAGTAAATTGTTTTAATAATAAATTATTAATTCAACACACTCTTTTTTAGGTAAAAGTCTCATCACAACCTTTATGTCCTGACGTTGGACATTATCCATATCGGCAGGGTTGCAGCAATACATTTTATAAATGCAAACGGGATAGCAGAAATAACTTGCAAGGATATTTTTACAAGTGTCCTGTGAATTTCATTTACTGGTCGGTTTCCAGAAGATGTGAACGTGCTACTCGTTTACCTATGTGCACACATTTAGCATTTAGGAAGAATGATTTCTGGGACAGTCGATGGCAATTACCAGTTGAAGATGTCAATCTTTCTGCAAGAGCATTGCGTCTTTTTTAAACCATTAGCTAATGATAAACTTCCTTTGTAAGTTTCCAAGAACAGTATGAATCCCTCAGGTTACATGCGAAACTTGTCACGAGAAAATATTCTACAAATCTTGCATGTAAAAGTGAATGAGTCAATTAATTCGACTTCGTCAACATGGCTGCCAAAGATCGTGATAAACATTCGATAGATCTTCGGTAGCCATCTTGAAACGATTTATGTTCGTTCCAATTTCTACACTGAAACTGATAATATATTGTAATTATAATCGGTTTCATATAGCTTAATTAATTTAGTTAGATAAAACCATTCATAATTATCATCGATCATAACTCAAATCATTGTGGCGTACAATCTTTACTGACGACTGTGTCGAATATTTTCGACAAGAGATCATAAATGATAAATGGGGTTTTGGTTGCGGGACTTGTATGCAATACATGACTGTATTTAATAGCATAGCTAATCATACGTATATTTATTAAGCTGGTTTAATTAATTTAATCAACAACGATAAAAATTCGCAAAAAAATTTCTAGGGAATGTTTTCATTTAAAGAGTGATCTATATATTCTTGAAACGAGAATAATATTTTGAAAAAGTGACTGAATTTGTATATTTAAAATGTAGAAAAAAGCTTATCGACGAACAAAATTTAACATTTTCATTAATTTTTATATTTACTTTGTATATATTTATATTTTCATATCTCTAATTCAAGTTGTCATTATAAGTAATGTAGACGTATAGTATACAAATATTTGATTAAATATGTATACATGATGTTCGTGTGTTTATATTCGATCTCTACGTAATTACCACAAATAAAATGTGTGTTTTTTGATGTAATGTGTATCTTATTTTCCTTAGATGTAATTCTTTAAAAGATAAGTATAAAAATACGTACTTATTTTAAATGTTGCAATGTCCTTAACTGCATGGAGAATATTGTCTACAATTTCAAAGCAATATCTGCACAAGTAGATGGCGCAAAATTACTCTACACAGACATGAAAATCACATAGATGTATCACTGCGCCTCCTGACTTTCTCGGTGCAAAATTAAAGTCGTAGGCAATCTTTTACATTAAGCTTTGGGATCCTCATATACTGAAAAAACCGTGAAAAAAAAGTGTTTAAAAGCGAAGTTATTATTAAAACTCTGTATAACTGCTGTATAATTTGTAACAAAGTTAATATTGAAAAATAATAACACGAAATTTAGCTTAGACGAAGGAAAATAAATCTTTTAGAAAGTGCACTATGTTTCGTGCTACAAATTTCGACAAATTATTGGGTAAATTCCACTTTTTTTGTTCCATTAATACTCACAAAATGTCGGACACCGTTCGTTTATAATTATCTTTTTATTATTTAACACTATAGATAAGGCCACGAGTCAATTTCAACTCGAACCTGATTGGCCCACTATTCTACAAATTTGCGACCTCATACGTCAAAATGACGTTCAGTGAGTCAATCTTACACTTTTCAATATTCTTAATATAAATTAATGTTAACCTGTATGAATTTTAATATTTAGCAAGTGTATAAGTATATGCATATATATATATATATATATATATATATCCATCATATGTATAATTTGAACTTAGATTAGTCATACATTCTTGACTAATGATAAACCAATTGTCTTTCTCCGTAGTTTATTTTACTATTAATACGGCCATATTGTATTAACTGTAAATATCATTATCTTATTAAAAGTATTTAGTATTCTATTTTATTTACAGACCAAAGCAAGCACTTGCTGCTATAAAAAAAAAATTAACCAATCCTAATCCACATGTAGCTTCGTATGCTCTGCTAGTAAGTTTAAACCTTTGAAATATATTTATTATATCATTTATTATTAAAAATTTCTATTAATATTGCATCACGTATCATTGGACAGGTATTAGAGTCTTGCATTAAAAATTGTGGATCTCGCATCCAAGATGAAATTGGTACTAAACAATATATGGAACAACTTAAAGAATTAGTAAAAACATCAACTCATGAACACGTTAGGCAAAAAATATTAGAATTAATACAAGCTTTGGCATTTGCATTTCGAAATAATCTTAAATATAGAGCAGTACAGGTAAGATACAATTTTTTATAATATTTATGGTATATTGAATATTAATTATTGTATGTTTATTACGTTTTTAGGACACATTAAATATTATGAAAAATGAAGGTCATAAGTTTCCTCCTTTAAAAGAAAGCGAAGCAATGTTTACGGCTGATACTGCTCCTGAGTGGACAGATGGTGATGTTTGTCATCGCTGTCGTGTAGCATTTGGCATTCTTCAACGAAAACACCACTGTAGAGCATGTGGTCAAGTATTTTGTGCTCAGTGCTCGAACAAAGTTTCTACATTACCTAAAATTGGATTTGAAAAAGAAGTAAGAGTATGTGAAGCATGCTATGAACAAGTTAATAAGTAAGTACAATTTTTCTTTCTCAATATATATATATATATATATATATATATATATATATATATATATATATTATATTATTTGTGTAATCTAATAAATATTTTATTTATTTAGACCTTCTACTACCCATTCAAAAGAAACTGATTTACCAGCTGAATATTTGAGCAGTTCCTTGGCTCAACAACAACAGGTAAAGAAAAATGAATAGCCCAATATTTTATTTGAACTAACATGTAAATATTATTTAAGGTTCCTCCTAGAAAAACGGAGGATGAAATTCGAGAAGAAGAAGATTTACAGTTGGCTATAGCTTTAAGTCAAAGTGAAGCAGAACAAAAGGAGAGAGAAAAGAAACGCGCGACAAATGCTTTGAAGTCTAACACTATTTCTGTATCTAGAACAACATATTCACCTCCTCCATCCCCTGTTAGTTTTTGTCTCATGTAATCATAGTTATTGGATTACATATAGTATAACTGTTATATTAATAATTTTATTCGATATTTTTATTCTATAGGGACCAAGTCCATCTCGAATTCAAGATGAGGATGAAATTGATCCTGAACTAGCAAAATATTTAAATCGAAGATACTGGGAGCAAAGACAAACAGCAATAGAAGAGCATAGTGCGAGAACGGATGTAACAAGTCCTTCTGCGCCTAATATAAGTAGTCCGATGCCTCAGAAAGTTGTTATCGTTAAACAGCAAAATGGAGAAGTTGATATAGAAATGGAAGAGTTTGTCAATGCTTTAAGATCTCAAGTTGAAATTTTTGTAAATAGAATGAAAAGTAATTCTTCTAGAGGAAGACCTATTACTTCTGACAGTTCGGTGCAAAATTTATTTCTCAATATTACTCGTATGCATTCAAGGTATTATACAAATAATATGAACTTTTAAAGACTTCAAATATATACCTGTTATTATTTAGAATTAATTTATAATTTTGCTTCAATAGACTATTGACATATATTCAAGAACAAGATGATAGTAGAGTATATTATGAAGGACTGCAGGATAAGTTAACACAAATTAAAGATGCTAGAGCTGCATTAGATGCTTTACGAGATGAACATAGAGAAAAATTGCGTAGACAAGCAGAGGAAGCGGAAAGGCAACGGCAGATGTTAATGGCAATGAAATTAGCAATTATGCGAAAAAAGAAACAAGATTATTTGCAATATCAACGACAATTAGCTTTACAAAAAATCCAAGAACAAGAAAGGGAAATGCAAATGAGACAAGAACAACAAAAACAGCAATATATCATGAGTAAATTTTTTTAAATTATTTACTTTATTAGAATTAGAATTACTTGATTTATTTTTTTAGTTACGTTCTTCAATATATTTTTTATTAATTTTTCCTTTTTTTTTTAGGTGGTTATCAAGGTATGCCAGGATATATGGGTCATTCTCAAGGGTCTCCAGTTCGTCAGATGCAATATCAAGGTCCTGGATCAAATTATAATCCTATGTCTCCAACAGATCAGGGTGTTTACATGTACGGGCAGCATTCAATGGGGCAATATCCTATTCAAGGTTACATGCCGCCAATGGGTTCTCTACCTCCACATTTAATGGGTACAATAACTAACCCAGAATCAGCTGCAACTGATTCAACAGTTCAATCACGAGACAATGTAGGTAGAGTTGTAATTACAAATACTGGAATGGTAAGTATATAAACAATAATTTCACGTTTCTTAAATAAATGAAAAAGAATTATGTAATTGTCTTGTTATCACCTTTTTTATTACAGATTCCTCAAGTAACAAATCCTATAACGCAACTTCAGCAACCAACTGGTCATCAGATAGGTCCTGCTCAACAAGGTACTGCTAGTCATATTCCAGTGACACAAGTACCACCAAGCCATATGCCACAACAAGGACCTCATAGTTCACAAATGTCGGCTTTACCAAATCAGATAGGTATGTCTCAATCAGTACCACCTAATAATATACCTGCACCACCAAGACAAGTAGCTCCAACGACACACGGTCCACCTGGTCAAGTTGTACTTCCACAACAAATTGGACCACAACCTATTGGTATACCTATTCCGCAAGGAGCTCCAGTACCACAGCATGTTTCAACTATTATTCCATCTCAGAGAACAACTATGCAAGTTTCTGCTGGAGGTAGTACTGGAATGGTTCCAGCAAATCAATCTTTACAAGGTCCTGCTGGACCTAATTTAAATATGCAAGGAATGACGCAAATTCCTGCTACTCAAGGCCAACAATTTACATTTCCTCAAAATTCAGCTCCATCAGTAGTAGAAAACGTTCAAGCAAAGGAAGAACCAAAGCCTGAAACAGCAGAACTTATTTCTTTTGACTAAAAGTCTAAATGAACATTAGATTATATCATTATTACAAATGCATTTAACAGGATTTATAGTTTCTTAAAGATAACTTGGAAATTATAAAATATCATTCTAATATCGTTCTTAAATATGTTTATTTACAATATTCGATTTTTGTTTTAAATACCAAATTTAATATAATTTACAAAAAAAAAATGGCACTATACACACGTTGACAATAGATGTAATCTTAAACCTGTAGGGAAAAAAAATAAATTACAATAATAATGTTAGCAAGTACTAAAATTTCTCACATTGTTTTAAAAGCGAATATAATATTATTGCATTAAAAAGTAAATATCTAAGATAAGTGTTATGCATTGAATGAATAATTTGTTTGTTGTGCAAAACACATAATATGTTAATTATCGAAGAAGCCATATAAATATTGAATGTAAAACATGTTTAATACATAAATAATATTTTAAATAATTTAAATTACTTTTATCCTAAATAATAAAACATATATACATTAAATCATTGTAAGAAACATTACTCAACAATTTGTGTACTAATGAATTAATGTCTACATTTAAAAGACAACAGATATAATATTTGTATAAAGAATAAAAAGTATCTACAAAATATGTAATTATCTAAAGGAAAAATTTATCACAATGTGTTAAACATTTATTAAAATTTAACGCGAATGTACTATTTTGTATACAAGTGATCATTTCGTAATTGCAAATGACAAAGTATGTAATTATACAGAGAAAGGCAGTAATAATTACCTGTAATATTAGTTAACAAATATTGTGAAAAAACATAGTTTTAAAAAATTCAAACGACATATAAATAGTTACACGTTAAATTGATAGAGGACTTTGTTTCTATTTCAAAAATGTATATACATTTTTCTTATTTCATCAATTCCCTAACAAAAATTTTCCCTTTTCCACTTTTTAAAAATAATTCTATTCTTATATAATCATACAGTCTCTACTTGACCCTTTCTACGTGGTTTGACCTCTTGAGTTTGAGGAGAAGTAAACGATGTTTCTTCAGAACGTTTTCTAGTTATAGATGTAGGTTCACTATTAGATGAACTACCAGAATTACAACTATCTTTCTTCTCTAAACATATGTGAGATGCACTCGCTCCATTAGACGTCAAAGATGTTTTACGATTACGCATATCCTCAAGAGGTATTTCTTCACTACGCGGGCGTGGCATTTTTGGAGAACTATCTCTAGATCGTAAACCATTTTCATGAATCTTCTCATTAGAGTTATTATCAACACGCTTAAAACTAGATGACGGAAGACCAAGAACAGGTTTAAGAACATGTTCTCTGCGCATTTGTGCCGCGAATCCTGGAACTTTATTTACCGTAAACATTGGTCTTGGTTGATCCTTCTGCCTTTGTCCACGTCCATATCCTAAAATTATAAATATTAAAAATAACGATATTTCAAATAATCAAATTTAATGATAACGTAATATTCTTACGGTCGTGTCGCATATTACGTAAAGCAAAGTTTGGTGGTGTAGACGAATGCGGTATACTTGTTGGCATGCCCAGTAATCTAGCAATTTGATTTATCTTTCTCTGTCGTGCTTTTATTCTACCTTTGGTTAGCCTATATCATAAAAGAATTTTGTAATAGGTTTCATATGTAGACATTAAGATGCTAAGTATTTTATATAATACCTTTGTTTTGCAGCCATACATCTAATGTGATCATCGAAGATAAATTTAGCTGATAGTAATGGAACTCTGTTGCCTGTGCTATTTCTTAGAGGTTTGTATATGGTTAAATGTAAACATCTAGAATCATCATTGTCACCCGTCACCTCAATATCCTGTAAAAAGCCTACTATTTTTGCTACACCCCACCCAAGTTTGGAAGTGTCAGGTTCAACTAGAATTAATTGTGTAACATCAATGACCAAAAACCAATGGATTTTTTGTCCATCTTTCCATACAACTGTACATGCTATTAAGTCACTGTTATCTGTAACAGTTATTAGAATTAAAACATGTTTATGAATTATAAAAATATATTTTAATTATTTAACAATATTCATTCTATAAAGATTCTTTTTAATTATTATATGCTACAATCATTTATTTTACATTTAGATACTAAGTTTTTCAAAGAAAGGAAATAACTTTTACTTAGATCAAGTACGTTGGTAAGTTTTACACAATTATCTGGATTTGTTAAGGGTAACTGTGTTTCTTCTTCCATATTAACAGTTAAAGATAATTCTCGGATTAAGAAAAATACTCTAATTGCACGACGTGCTCTTTCCACCTATATACATGTAATTAAAATATAGTATGATCATAGATATTTTTTTCTAAATTTCCAATTTAATAGAATACTTACTTCACCACATGGTAATCGTTTGCTAAATTCAATACCAGTCATTGGGGTACCCGTAGGAGGTAATAAAATATTACTGTCCATCATTAACCATTCAACATTTAAAGGTCGTTTTTGAATTTCGTTATATTCGTCTTCAAACATATCTAAGAATATCTCTTCACTCTAATAAATTTTAAGAAAATATTTCAATAATTGTATAATTGTAATATATCTATGTTTAATTACACACCTTGTAGAAGTTCCTCAAAAGTGCTGTACTTTGTTCTCTTGCTGTTTCGATTGCTGCTAAATGTGAATCTTTTAAAAGACTCTGTCCTTCTGATAAAACTAAATGTGTCAATAATTTGATTGTTAATTCCAAAGTTACAAGTCTCACTTTAGCATCTAACAATAAAAATATTTGTATCAATTAATATAATCGTAAAAATATAAAAGTCCATTTTAAATGATAATTGTATTTGATTGTACGACTTACTTGTCTGACAGCTTAAAGTGATTATGTGAATTAATCTATCTATTAATATATCATTATACCAATTCTTTGTTTCTACATTCTGTGAAGGAGATAAAACTAAATCCAGTGTTTCATGATTTATACCCTTATAAATAAAATTATTAAATTACTACATAAGATTCACATTTATTATGTGAAACTTTTATATTTATATATTTATTACCTGATTATTAGCTAATGCATAAAGTAAACACAATCCAAATAACGCAGCATAATCATTTTCTGTACAAAATAAAGAATTCAATATAGTTTCTAAAAACGGTTTCTGTGATAATAATTCCAGAGCATTATGTTGTATTTGACTCTGTGTTAATGGACTCTCTAATGCCAAACGTTCTTTTTCTTCATCGGTTACATTCAAATGTTTTATACCTCCTAGTTCTTCAGGAATGTTTATATCTAATTGTTTAGAGCTCTTAATATGTGTATTATCGCAGGAAAACACATGAGCACGTGATGTACTAGGTTTACTTAAATCTTGTATTTTTTCATCCATAATTTCTCTAGTCTTACTCGTAGATTCTACATTATTATCATTTTCATTAAGACTTTCTAATATGGTTAATGATTCATTTAGATTTTCTAAAGATTTTTCTAATGTTTCTTTTGGCTGTGAAAATTCTATTGATTTATTTGATGATATTTCGCTAAATGTTTCAATCACTTTGCTTACTCCTATCTGAATCGTGCTCAAATCAGATTTGAGTATTACAGCTGCTAAAGTATATACAAGAGGTCCGTGAGAAACAATTAAAAAAACTTGGGAAAGTAAGAATAATGCCACAACAACGCTGACATATTTTCGTTCATCCTAACAATTGAAAAGTTATTAATATTAAATATCTATTGATGAATGTAAAATATTGCATATTATATAGTTTACCTGATTTTGACAAAGATCTTTTCGCTTCATTAAAGAATATACATAGAGCGGAACTAGTAATTTATGCAACAGATGTTCCGAGAGTACCTTGTTAAGATCTGGTATATTTAAGCAAAGTATATCATTTAAATAATGCAAATGATCCAAGTGTTCTGCTACCAAATCTGATAATCTATTTTGACTTTGATGACTATAACAAATAATAAAACATGTATATTTTCTTTATTCTATTCATTCATTGCAGCATTATTACTTTCTATATATGTATATATGAAAATATAAAATATTACTATAGAACTTACTCTGCATCATTTCGGACACATGTATCCAATTCTATAATATGATTACCAATAAACCATACAAGATTACTGAAATAAGGTGCTGCTGTGCGATCTCTTATAAATGCCAACATAGATGCATCTTCCACGCGATATACATTTAAAGTCAGAGTTCTTACTGCTATACGAACCATACCCTCAGAATGATTGAAAAACTTAATGGCTTCCGTATATAGTGGAAAATCATTGGTATGCTAATGAAAGTGTTAAATTACAAAACATTCTCATATACAAAAGATAGTGTTTGTGTAATAAATGCCATTTGAATTGTGCAAAATAACAAAAGAAAAGTATACATTATATATATATATATATATATATATATATATATATATATATATACACACATAAGCATTGGTTTTAAATTATACTTAAATTAATTCTTTAAAATAATAATACAAAAATTAAATAAAAATATATGATATTAGATGAGAAATGAAATAAGAACATAGAGGCTTATTACGTGTACCTCGTTTACCTCATTATAGAAGAAATGGATGGTATGGGTATTTAACTTCAAGCTCAACGTTTTTAAGAAACTGATGTAATATGCCATTACCTCCTCATCGCTGAAGTCAAATTTGTGAACAATAATACTATTTACATGGTTATTACTTAACAGGTAGTCTACAAATTTTATATAAAGATAAGATAGATGATAAAAATCGAGTAAATTATTAAAATAGTTTATATTAAAAATGACTTACACAAAGATGTTTCATTGCGTATATTTTCAAATAATATATTGAGCGTCTGAAGTAATTGAACACATACGTAGCTTCCACATTTCTGCTTCATGATACGCAAGAAAAAAGAAAGCATATTCTTCTCCAGAAAGAAGCTATATATAAAATGTAAAAATTAATATTCATATTTCTATTCAATTTATAAAATTGAACAGAATATTGGATTAACTCCTTACGTTATAACAATATGTAAGACTCATGATACGCTTTATAGTCTAAACGTAATAAGCAAGAAATATAGCACCAAATATGACATGAAACTCTGCGTGCTAAATCATAGTGCAAGGAGTTAAATAATGAGTGATATCACTTACTCAAAGACGCTACTGTCATTCTGGTCACCCCATATTAAAATCTCAGCTATTGAGCGAAGAGTTTCAACTAATAAACCTCTATTATGTTCAGATACTGTTTGATTCTTTGATAGAACATTGTACAGGTACCTAAACATAAAATAATACTTTAAATTGTAATTAAAAATGATTAAAATGATTTACATACTTAAGGTGCTCTAGAGAATGTGGATTTTTTGGCTTCCAAAGTCCCCCTCCAAACCAACTACGACTTCGAAACATTTTGATACGTAAAATATAAACTTAATTAGGTATGTTTCACAATGTATTCATTTTTTTGACTTTAGTTCAATTAAATTTGTTTGTAATTATTACTCCATGTCATTTAAGCAATTTATGTGAGATTTAATGATTTCATATATGCGTTAAAAACACATCTAAACACACGGATTATTTCAAAGAAATATCACAATACATAGTACACATTGGTTAAAAAGTAAAGGTTATTATCTATATAAAAGTTTCTCTTTCGCAATATATTTTGATCTAATTATTTAAAAAAATCTCACTTTATATATCGTCACATATAACCACGTACTTTTTGAATTTACGCATTTTATAAATTATAACAATGTTCGATTATATACGATAAATTTTCATATCTCTACGCAATACTTTGTTAAACTACGAACTATGAACTGACATGTTGTATGTATGCAGTACATTTCAAGTCAGGTTATCTCTTTAAGGCTGTTCTTAGGACCTTACTTTTTATCTAAGGTAAGGCATGTGTAACTGCAACGACAAGTGGATAAAATTTGAACTAGAAGTGCACAAAGAAGTGACGTCCCCACCATTCGTATATAACATCGGTGAATAAGCTTGAGAGGGCTACAGTATTAGTGTAAGTACTTACTCTCATACTTTTAAATATCTCATTTATGCATTAAATAAGATGCATGGCCGATACAATTTTGATCGACCATAAATCTATTAAAAAATAGTAACTATTTTCGATAAAATGATATTTTTTGAAGTAATTTTTTTCATAGAAAATAAAGCTTTTTTAAAAATTCCAATTAATCGTACAAACGTTTGAACTTTCGTCTTTCATCAAATCTTACTCATCAAAATCGATTAAGAATTGTGCCTAATATGTTCAATAATAGAAACTTTGTTTCGATATTTTTATATCGGGCTGATAAACAGTTTTAAGTGTCGAATCAAACTTTAAGAGTAAAGATTTTAATGTTTTTTAGCCAGCGATATCGATATTTTTAATGATAGTATTCTTTTATAATTACAATCCTTATTTTCATTTATCATGATAATCTTATTGTTAATTATGAACTTGATAATGTATTCTTATTATTTATATTAACATCTATGAATAACATGTTTTGTAATTTGCATATAATCATAATATCCTTTTTATTAATAATGTAAGTATAAACTTATATTTAAAAATTTATCATCAGGACGGGTAAATAGGCAACCAATCAAATCATAGCTACCTTGTTGCACTTTTCAATATGAGATTATGTACATTTAAATCAATTCGTGTATTATTTATATTTATTATGGAGGGTAGAGGTAAGGAGGAACATCTCTGTATATGAAAAGTGTCCGTCGAAATCCAACCAATTCAGGTGGCGCCACATTAGCATCATGGTAAATTTTAAAGAAAGCGCCAAATATTATTAAAGTAGGATTGAGAAATAAACAAGAAAAGAAAAACTTCCGCTAAGCAGTGCTGTCAGATCGTGGGTAAATCTTACCCTCTCCCTGTGCCACTGAGATTGCACACAATGAAAGTTTTCCATGTCCGTGTGTTTGGGATGTCGAAAGAAGTCGAGTGTAACCGAAGTTGGCGGGCACCCCGGAGTGGCACACTATGAAAGCGACTCGTGTCGTCCAAACACATGGACACGAGTCGCTTTCATAATGTGCCACTTCGTGGCCAACCGCCAACTTCGGTTACACTCGGCTTCTTTCGAAATCCCAAACACACGGACATGGAAAACTTTCATTGTGTGCAATCCCAGTAGCACAGGGAGAGGGTAAAATTTACCCACGATCTGACAGCACTGCCGCTAAGTAATAGCGTGCTTTTTAAAATCCTCATAAAGTAGGAAACAACATATAATGATTTTTTAACATCTACTTAGTGAATATTAAAAAAAAAAATAAATATATTAATAAGAAAAAAAAATCATATGTTATACAAAATACATAAGTAAATAAAAATAAAGAAATAAATAAATGAATGTGTTTAAAATTAAAGTACAAAAGTTCATCAAGAGCAAAACGATAATAAAAAAATGTTCTTCTATAAGCAATCAATTTTTGCATCTAATAAATTTTTAGAATAAATCATAGAAACATTTAATCAATTGATGTATTAAAACATTGTTATTCGCTATAAAAAATAATTTATCTCTGTAAATTAGCATATTTCGATATGCGAAAGCAGTCAAAAGACAGACTTAACACGTAATAAACAATATAAATTAACAACAATAAAAAACATGACGTAATATAAACATTTTCAATAATAAATTAAATATTACAAATTTTAAAAAATCATAGGTCTTGAGTTTATGATAATAATTTAAGTTTTCTCATAATAATTCTTTAAGGTTATATTTACTACATTATTTTGTACTACGCAATTTGTTGAAATTTTCAATTATTAACTATTTTAGTCGCCAATAATATTAAATTTTTTAATTCGGCATACTTCAATTCGTTTACAATTGCTACATTCATACATACCAAGTACCTACACCAGCGCCATTCTGGAAAGTTTTTGAACAAATATTTTCAGAAAACGCTGGACACTTTTTCACATTTTCTCCCATAAGAGATGTTATTCCTTACCTCTACCTTCTAAATTATACTATAATGAATGTGTATTATTTTTTTAAGTACATATAATGTTTCTTTTTTTTAAAGAAAATATTGTTTTGAATCATTTATAATGCGAATATTGGAATTATATAGCGGTATTGGCGGAATGCATTATGCCTTTCGAGGTACATTTAATTTAAGTTTTATATATATCAAATACATGCATTAACCTAAAAGATACATTACAACATTTGAGTAGATTTAATATTTGATAAAGGTTTTAATTATCATGTTATTTTTTAGAAAGTGGAGTAGCTGGAAATGTTATTGGTGCAGTGGATATAAATCCTGTTGCCAATAATGTATATAAACATAATTTTCCAGAAGTCTTACTCATGAACCGCAACATTGAATCTATAAGCGAAGAAGAATTTATGAAATTAAATATAGATATGATACTTATGAGTCCTCCTTGTCAACCATTTACTAGAGTAGGATTACAAAAAGACAAATTAGATAAGAGATCGTGTTCACTGTTTCATCTTTTACAAATTATACCACGGATTTCATCTTTGAAATATATATTATTGGAAAATGTGAAGGGATTTGAAAACTCTGAGACAAGAATAGAGTTACTGAAGTGCCTTAAAAATTGCTACTTTAATTATAAAGAATTAATTTTAAGTCCGACACAATTTGGTATTCCAAATACCAGGCATAGGTATTATTTGCTTGCGAAGAAAAAAGGTTTAAAGTTTTGTTTCGATGACTCTATATTAGATTATAGTCTGTCCCAAAGATTAATAACGCTTCTTCCACGAAGTAAACATCAGTTACTCATAGAGAAAGAATATGTCGACAATATAGAATTTGGTGTTATTTGTTATAAATTAAAACATATTTTAGAAGATTGTGAAGAAGAATTATACTTGATTCCTAAAAATGTTTTACAAAAACGAGCTACACTTTTAGATATAAGAACAGCAGAAAATTGTGGCTCTTGTTGTTTTACAAAAGCTTATGGACATTACGTTGAAGGTACGGGTTCTGTGTATTGCCCATTTTCTGAAGAAACAGTACAAAAAAGCCTTACCGAGTCTACCAAATATGAAAAATATTCAGAAGATCAATTAAAACTCTTTTTATCTTTAAAGTTAAGATACTTCACACCAAAAGAAGTGTCTAGATTAATGTGTTTTCCAGAAGATTTTACATTTCCAAATAGTACAACAATTAAACAAAAATATAGATTATTAGGTAATTCAATTAATGTCGATGTAGTTAGTAAATTAATATTTTTATTATGTATTACAGAGAAAGAGAATATATGAAATATTTATTTAAGTAAATATACTTAAACGTTAAGAGTCATAATAATTGTTCAACTTTTACTCTAACAATTTTATATTCAAAGTTAATAAAAGTGTTATTGAATTGTTGATATACAAAATGTACTAAAAAAAGTACATATGTCAGAGATATAAATAATGTAACATATATAAATAACATAAATATTAATAATTATTTGTAATACTTGAAAAAATTGGATAGAAAATAAATTTTATAAATAATTGTCTTTATTATAACAGCCGCATAAACATTTCAAAATTGTCCTAAAAATAAAACTTTGTATTATTTATTAGCCATCATTATGATGAGTATATAATTTTATATTAATATATTATTCATTTTTTATTACTAAGAGGATAATATATATTTACAAAAATAGTTATGTATACTTATATATATATTGCTTATTACCGTTTACGATTTATATCATTTCTAATTCAGATGGAATAGGAATTTTCTTTTCGATAGCGAACTTTTTTAGTGCTAGATACTTTGAATGCCAAGATTCTATTTCTTCTTTCATGCGATTATTGTCCTCCTGCATTGCTTCCATGTCACGATATTCCTGAGTTTTTTCTGATTCAAGCTCATCTTTTTGCTCTATACGTTTAATACGACAACTAGCTGCATAACCTCTATTTTTTAAAGTTCTTCTCCTCTGCTTCATTCGTACTATCTCTTCTCTAGACAATCCACGCAGTTTCAACTGTCTATTCAAATCTCTAACAGATATCGTAACAAGTTCATCATCACTAATATCCAAACATGGACCAGGTGAAAGGGGATCCTGTGTATATACATATATAAAAGAACAATTATGCAATAAACAAGATTAATAAAGAAATTAAATAATAAAATTACATTCATAAAATATTAATATAAAAATTACATTCAATAAACAGTAATCTAACAAAGTTTACATTCATATTTCATCTACTTTAGAAACAATAATATTTGTTAATTTTTTATTGTAATTTGAAAATGAACTTTTTACAAAATATTATTGTAAACATATTTTTTGTACTATTCAATCAGAATGTGTCCAATTACCAAAATATACATGATCGGTAATAATGATAGATAATTTGCTCACGTGTGATAGTTGCCGACGTACCATCTTTATAGATCGTTTTCCATCCATAGCCATTTGAAACGTTCAAATTTTCACGTTCCAATGTGAATAGTAAAAGAAATAATACGTTTCTCTAAACCTGTGGTTTCTCGATCAATTTGCCTAGTCATTGTAGAACATGAAATGACGACGAATATTGCCACGACCGACATCATATGGTATCATTCTGAAAACATTGAATTTTCTTGTACAATATAATTTATTGTATCATTTTATTTTAATACATGTTTAAAATGTCCATCATTTTATACTAAGATTTCATTAAACACTGTGAAAATATATTTATAAAGGTTATTTTTTGATCTTTTTATGTTCGTAAAATAATTTCATTTATACTGCATTGCAATGCCATCTGTTGAGAGAAAAGTATACTCGTTAGTAAATATAAATTTGCCGTCAGTATTTACCACGCATTCCACAGTAATGGTTATTGTTTTAATAAAGTAATAGTTTTAAACAATTTACACTTTCTTACATAGCCAATTCAAGATTTATGTTGGTATTAATATAAATAAATAATATAACTTGTTAATTAAATTGTTTTTAGGGTTATCAAATTATCTAAATAAATGGACAGTTATTAGAATATTAGGTATTAAAAATGTAAAAAAAAGTGTATAAATAGTCTTTGTTTTTTAACTATATAAATATAAATATAAATATAAATATAAATATAAATATAAATATAAATATACGTACATTTAAAAATTAATGAGTAATAAAAAAAAACTTAGGATAAAAGTAGATTGTAACGAACGAGAGCGTAGAATAGTATATTACATACCTTGCCCATATTGCCCATGGTGTGTATACTTTTTTTCTCCTCGACGTAGGCGAAAAGCGGCAACTTCGTTTTGCACAGCGGAGTTTGCACAGCGTTTTCACACGGAGTGGTGAAAAATACTTTTTGCGTTAATAAAAATATCTATCTATGGTATTTGTCTCGTTTTTTTTGCTATTTACTATGTCATTATTATAATTATATTCACTGTTATATTCATTATCATCTTACTCGACTACATTACATTTTTATTAACGAACGAATTTTTGGACATCCGAACTAGGTGATTCTTATATTAGGTTTTTTTTTATCTCGTTTAGTAATAAAAAAAATAAAAGTATCGGTGCCACAGAATAATATTGACTAACTTTTCTCTCTTTTTAGCATCCCCGATAGTAATCATTATTTTTTTCTAGTAACTCAATAGCCGAGAAAATGGCAAGAAGAAAGGAAAGATATACGAAGCAAAGAAAAGAAGCGGGAAACAAGGAGAAAAAGACAACGCTTGAAAGAAGACGAAGGTAAATAAGTAAGTAATATAGTCATACTTGTTTTTATATTAGTAGAGAGAAATTAACAATTAACAAATTGTTATATGCGTTTTATTATTTGATGGAATAATTTTAAAATAATTTCGAAAAGAATAGAAAGAACGTAGACAATTTAAACTGATTGAATAATTTGCATTTGACTTTTTTATTCGTTTATTTTTTATTACTTAATCGTTAACGAATTTGCGTATATAATTTCTTTTTTCTTTTCTTCTTCTATTAACTAGGAAATTAAATTATTCCTTTTACTTTTTTTTGTCATTAATATCTTCCGATAGTCGTTCAGAATATGAGAAGCGTGAATTAAGGGTGTAAATATTTTTTTATCGTTCTGTGAAGGAATTATCGTTGTAGTCGGTGATAACTAAGATATTTAACGAGAAAAAGTATTTTTACTCGGAAACCTAAGAAACGAAGACAAAGATGTCGACGATGACGATGACAATGACGACAAAGTTCTTAAAATGAGATATCTGTTCGTCCTAGTTGGTTATTCAATGCGATTAGCCGACAATGATGTTTTTCTTGAAAAGAATTGATCGATAAAGATAGAAAGATAAAGAGAAAAAAAAGAAATTAAGAAAGGAATCAAGAATATTGGTTTTGTTTTTCACAGTCGTTTAAAAATCGATGAAATTTGCTCGATAATAATTTCATTGCTACCAAATTAGCATATTAATTTATTCTTAAATTAGTATTAATTTACGACAAAATACGTTTCATTAAGCTAAGGAATACAATATCTGACATATAATATACGCATAGTACTTACATGTATTATTAGAATACCAGTAGCTATCGTTAGAAGTATAATATATGAAGCATGCAGCTAACGTATCCATAATACGTTATATTATATCGATAAGTGTCTTCAAGTGACTTGACATAACACACGCATGTCTCGTTAACAAATGGATATGTCTATGTAATGCACACGCTACCGGCCACAAGTTTGGAATTACTATGTAAATTCAGAGGAACAGGATATTTACAAGAAAAACATGAACGTCTTTAAGGTAACCGAGTTGGATTTATTTCTCAAAATAATTCATCACAGTAATATCGTTTACATATACTTGTATTATGTTTTTATCAAAGAATTACTATTTTTCTTCAAATTGCTTTTTCATCAAAAAATGATTTTAATTGTTAAGTCTGACATATTTTGGATTCTAGAAATTAGTTTTTCAAGTATTTCTAATTAAATGTCTTTCCATGCTTCTTGTAGAAGTTGGTAAAGATGTTTCAAAAGGAAAGTTCATTTTGAGTATTGTCTTTTAAACTGGGTGTAGCAATTATACAAGAGTATTATGGACATAAGAAAATGCAAAAAATTTCTTAAAACAAAATTCAGCAAAATCATTTCAAAATTAATCGGCATATTCGATTTTTACGGAAATTAGCAAATGATTCCAAATTTTTTGCTAGTAATATATATGCAAAATTTAATCGTTCGTTTTTAATATTTAATTTGTAAACGTTTTGACGAGTACAGTAATTCGTTTTTCGAAAACTGTATAATGTTCATATTTTGAAAATTTTATAATACGAAACGAAATTTCATTACACAAGCGCAGTCACGTTAACCATTTGGAAATATCAAAGAGGTGTCTGGCTCGGCACACAACTAGCTTGCATTCGTTTGGAGACATTTCTCACGCATCAGCTATAATTAAACGAAGACTCGTAGGATATACAATATGAATGCCAAAGGTACGATGCATAGAGTTGACTCATTTGCAGTAAAGTAATGTATAAACTGGTGGTACGTTTTGATTACTTCGTTGCATCAACGTGCATTATACCATTTGTTGAAAGAAAGAGAAAAGAGCTAGTAGGATATACCGACATAGAATGAATTGTTCAGGAAGTTTGTACCTATTTCATGCTATTTATTTATACCTCTTAGTTCCTTATTTTCCATCTTCTACATTTTTATCAATTTTTATGTTCTAATAAAAATTATCATATTTTTATTTTATTCTTTATAATATTCAAATATTAGATTCTATAAATAATTTAACGTGCAAAATACAATGTATCGTTTTACAAAAGTGTGTTTATCCTTGGCTGTTTTTCCAACGTACATATTTACTATTATACAAAGTATATAGTAAGTACACACAAAATGTTAGCTTCTAACGCTTACAGTCGGCTACTACATCTGATCTCTTCTTTTCACTTGTTTTCCTTAATGCTACGCTTGCTGCGTTATAAGCATTCCATTCATTCGCATTCATGTATATTAATGTATTTCTGCTCGTTCGTTTTTAAGAGAAACTATGTTGTAGTAGAGTCAAGGCGTTAGTAATAGACACATATTTTGCTCTCCTACTTTTCTCGTTTGTCTTTCATCTTTCTATTTGTGTTTTATCTTTTATTTTGTATTTTTCTTCCTTCTTTCATTTCTCTTCTTCCCTCTTTTGAAAAAAAGTCATATTTTATGCTACTTTACTCTACTTTCAGCAAAACAATTTAGTTTCTTTAAAGTGTATATATATGTACGTATGTGTGTATGTATGTATACAGTATTAGGTATATAGTTACCTATTGAATATATGTATATAGTATTAGGCATTATAGTTACCTATCGAATTAGGGGTCGATGGCATCGTTCAACGACCAGTCGATTTTCGTCGCATTGCGGAGAATCAAGTACACAGGTATTTCCATTGCTACATAATATCATCATTTTTCGATTTCGTTTTATAGTTTAATGAATGCTATCTTTCATTTAATACATACTTTTCTGTTTTTGAAATTTTTCATAATTAGGTTTCATTAGCATTATACAGATGTCATAATTAACAAGATTTTACGAAACATGAGTTTTTTTTCATCTTTCATTTTCGTTCTAAAAAAAGTCAGCTAGTTTTTCTTTCCTTCTTTTTAATTATTTTTTTATTTATTTCGCTATAATTTTCTTTTTTTTAAATTTTTTTTTATTTCCTTATTCGCAAAGACTCGACAGTAATATTATCTTTTTATTATCTAGAATTTTCTAGATCCTTTTTTCGTTGGTAAGTTTTATTATCTCGTTTACGTGGTACGACGATTATAAATCCGTTTCACTTAACGGTCGCACTATCAGTGTGTCTTTACTACTTCAACCAACTTGAGTTCTCTCTCAAGCGTGCTAACGGACTTTATTAATTTCACTTTGCTAACGGATAGAGTCGGTTATAGAGGATAGTTACTGTATTTATCATGACATTTGACGTTCATTGTAACGACCTTGAAATTTTACATCAAAGACAACGTGATCGAGTATCACGACTAAACGTTTACTGAGCTTCCGAAACGAGAGACCGAACGAACTTGAACTTTCGATAGAATTGCTTGCAGAATCTTTCGGTATTGTTTATCTGTAATTTTCAAACATAAGTTATAGGTTCGAACAAAATAGGTTGCGATAATGGGAACGATCGAATGAAATATTTCAATTGCTTTGGTCAGTTGCGAGAATGGTTTTATATTTAGATAAATAAATTTGACAGTAATCAAAAAGTTTTACTTATGGTTATCTCCAATATTACGACCAACCGTATATTCGTATTTTACTTTGAAGTTTTATCTCGTAAAACATACTGTATTCATAAATTTTTGTAGTTATAGAGAAATATGAAAGGATGAAATGAACGATCGATCGGAAGAGGATCGGACAGCCGTAAGATGGGTGTGGTAAAGGAGGCCGATTGAACCGGCTTATTTCCTGCTGGCTTCTTTCCTAGGCGATCGAACGCGAGTATTATCGCGTTGCAAAAGCCACGCCCTACCATCCATCGAGACTGTTCGGTCGTTTTTTCAAGGATTCTTTATTTAAACGAGTTAATTATCAATAACGTGTTGTGCTGCATTAAACAGCTCGACGTGTTTGTATATTCCAAGAATCAAATGTATCCTAACATCTTTTCAAATCCATTAGTACCATTTTAAGAGATGTGACAATTACTAACGATGACGTAAAGTTTATCAAGAAAATCATTTTT